TAAAAAAAAAAAAAAAAAATAGTTAGCTATTACACATTAAAAAGCCCACAACAGAAAGAAGCCTGACTAAGATCCAAGATGGCTGATTAGACACAACTCCAGCACACAAGACCCAACGAGAGAGATGCAGAAATCCAGAGACCTCCTAGCTCCAATCGAGGTACCAGGTGCATCTCAACAGGTCTGGTCCGATGGTGAGCAAAGCCCACTCAGGGCGACTGAGGCAGGAAGAGGTGCTGTTTCACCTAGAAAGTGCATCTGACCTGCGTGTCAGAGGCTCCCCGCTGGCACTCAAGTCCAGATACAGCACTTCCCCCAAAGCCTCAGCAATATGCAGAACAGAGGATCTTTGCTAGTCAAGGGCTGGGAATTACTGAGCCCGCAGACTGAGTTATTGCCCCCTCCCTCCACAAGAAGAGAGAGGGAGCTGTAATCAGGAGCCACCTGGGCAGGCCCCTACCCCATGACCAGAGAGTGAGGAAGCTGAAAGGCGGAGACCACCCGGTGAGGCTGGGCGGGTCCCTACCCTCCCCGACAAACCCCAGAGGGCTGAAGCTCTGACTCTAGTGGGTTGTGCAGCTAGTGCCACAGTCTGAGATGAACTCTGAATGATCCAGCCCAGTGGAGGAAGGGCACAACCCACCACTAAGGGGAGGGACTGGGCTACATGTTCTAACAAAAAACACAGGAAGCCTACATAGCAACAGGATGGCATTCTTGACAACCCAGCAGCCCCTACAGGTCAGTGGAAGAGGTGGGCCTAATCTCCCAGTATAAACAAAAAAGACACAGGAACTTCCCTAGTAACCTGAAGGAGTCCCTAGAAACCTAGTAGAGCCTCCACAGGCAGACAAGCGACCTCATCAAGCAGCTCCCTGACAACACAGCCAGGTAAATCCACAAAGATGGGAAGAAAACAGTGCAAAAAACATGAAACCATCAAAGACCAGAACACCTTTTCTCCTTCAAGGGATCACAGCTTCTCAACAACACAGGATCACAACTTGACCAAGGAGTGTGACAAACTGACAGAAATAGGCTTCAGAAGGTGGATAATAAACTTTTCTGAGCCAAAGGAACACGTTCTAACTCAATGCAAAGAAACCAAAAACCCTGAAAAAAGGTTAGACGAAATGCTAACTAGAATAACCAGCTTAGAGAATATAAATGACTTGATGGAGTTGAAAAACACAGCACAAGAACTACATGAGCAAACACAAGTTTTAATAGCTGAATCGATCAAGCGG